TGAGCGACGTCGGTGTCTCATCCTCCGCGTGCCTGACGGCAAAGAACTGGATCTGCAGCAAGCCCAGCCTGCACTGGAGGAAGCGTTAGATGGGGCTGGAACAGAAGAGGCCAAACGCGTCCGACAGGATCACACCCCACGCCCGTCCGTTGCCTTTCCTGCTACACTGGCTGGGCTGCTTGCTGTCTCGGGGCTCAATTTGCAATGGCAGGCGCCAGCCCCCATCCCAGTTATTTTACTTTGGTAGTGGATGCTGCAAGCCCAGCACAATTTAAGCGCTGTCTTGACTCTGCATGCAGCCCAGGGAACTTAATCAGAGGCAGGGGAGGATCTGGCAGATCCTAAGCACAGCCAGACCGTGTCAGACCAAAGGTCCAGCTAACCCAAGTGTCCTATTAGCCCCACAGTGGCCAATGCCAGGTGCCCCGGGGGAAATGAATAAATGTGCAAAGGATTTTTTACACCAGCCCCCTGTGTCTACAAATTAGCCAGCTCTCCAGAATCACAAAATGATTGGAAATAATTAGGAGATTTAAAAAAATAAATAAAAATAAATACAAAATAAATTACGGGTCCAGCTAACCCAAGTGTCCTATTAGCCCCACAGTGGCCAATGCCAGGTGCCCCGGGGGAAATGAATAAATGTGCAAAGGATTTTTTACACCAGCCCCCTGTGTCTACAAATTAGCCAGCTCTCCAGAATCACAAAATGATTGGAAATAATTAGGAGATTTAAAAAAATAAATAAAAATAAATACAAAATAAATTACGGGCTGTTTTGTTAGTTTTCCGAGCCGCTAGGGATTTGATTTAATTCTTCAATATCCCAACAATGTCGTTGAGGGGTGTGAATTAGCCCCTCCCCCAAGCAAGGTCAGTTACACGGACGTAAGTGCCGCTGTGCACAGTGCTAGGCTGGTAGGATATCACCTCCCTCCCACACAGCGACTGCCTCTCCCCGAGGTGGCATCAGCACAGGGCATCTTCACCAGACACTCGGCTGTCGCGTGACTGCACAAAACCCAGCAAGGGCAAGTGTTAAGTGAAAGTTGAGTTGCTCACAGGACCCCAGGACTAGAGCTCAGATAAGGAGCGTGGGCAGCACCTTCATTGGGGAGGGGGCTGGGTACATTTGGGAGCAGGGGCAGATGAGAGTTTTACAGGGCCCCCCTCTGGAGAAAATTTTTTTAAGAAGGCATCAAATGCGCAAGTTGAAGGCTATTTTCATATTACATGTGAATTGGGTAAATTTGACAGAAACTTAATTTAGTTGGAGAATTTTTAGTTTAATTCTATTGTAATTCATTCGTAAACAAAATTCTGCATTAATAATTAAACATTTTCATTTGTATTTAAGTCTATTCTAGCAGTCTAGCTCTTTTGACAGCACATTCTTCAATTATGTCATTAAAGTCCATTTCTTTACACAGGTCGTTTTCAATCGATATAATGCCAAAAGACCTTAAACAGCAAAGGTTGGCCTCTACTTCATATGTGGCCGTTGGGCATATAAAACACTGCCCAAGGATTCGAGTGGAACCTGCTATATTAGAGCAGCCTTCCCAGCCATTCGAATCACTAACCGTCTCCCTGGTGCTAGAATCCGAAACTATCGAGAGAGAACAGAAACACAGTGGTTTTGGGGAATTATGTTCCCAGGATGGGGTGTGGCCTATGCAGTAAGAGAAATTCAGAGGCTGGAAGGAGCTTTCGAGAAAGTAGCTAATGCCACAACCAAAGCTCTCCGTGCCATTAATAAGGAGTTAGGAGAAGTGAGACAAATGGTTCTCCAGAACCGGATGGCCCTAGACCACATCCTAGCTAGTAAGGGCGCGGCTTGTGCCTTAGTGGGAAAAGAACGCTGAGTGTAAATCACTGACACCAGGAAGGAAGTAGAGGAAGATGCCTCAGAGATTGAAAGAACTGTGAAAAGCCTAAGGCAGGAGGAAGAGTTGACCCTCTGGGGTTGGTTGGGAGGCTGGTTTGGGCATGTGGGAACTTGGATTTTGCAAGGTGTCGTTTTAGTATTGGCTATAGTCTTGTGTGTTTATTTTTGTTTCTTGTTCATCAAAAGCTGTATTTCTTGTATTCTGAAAAACACAAGACAGACCCTTACTAAAGGAAATATGGAAGTAATGAGGTTAAAATATGATGAGCAGAGAAAGGAACAAGAAATTTAAGGGAAACGGAGGTATAAAATGGTTTCAAGGTTAGCCTTTAAAAGGCTAAAAGGGGCGAGTTGTAGAAACTGTAGAAACCATTTCGTATTTAGCTAGAAGCCATCTTGTATAACAGAAATCATTTCAACTTTCCTCTCTCGCACGTAGACGAGAATGAACTTTGTCACCCCGTGAGAAGAGGCCTACAGGATGGGCTATTGGAAAGTGTTAATTGGGCTGGTTGAGACAGGAGATGTACTCCCTCGTACCTGTCCGCCATCTTGTTGATAAGGCTTTGTTTTTCCTAGTTTAATTGATGATTTCTGTAATTGGATGCCCTGATGTCAGACTGTTTGGCTAAGGGTATAAAGATACTAGGATTGATTGTATTAGCAGCCTTACTGGGCCTGGCCCTGCTGGGACTACGTTTGGCTCACTTGGCTTTACTGATCAATCAAGTTGTCTGTTTAGCCACGTAAACTGAGTGAGACTTTTGCTTCGACACTGACTATTCCTGATGGACTTAGGAGTACTGGCACTCATGGAGGCACCATCAGCATTCCATTTAGAGGGTCTTTGATAGACCCACTTAAACAAACACGGAAAGATTGATCTTTGGCACATATAGATGTTGCCTCCCTGGAAGCGATCTAAGTGATCTAAAAAGTGTGTGAGTTACAGATGCAGACTGAAATTGTGTTCCTACATTATTGAGGCTCTTTAATCCTTTTGACTTCTGTAAGGCAGTGTGGCTGCCACCATCTCAGTTTTTCACTGAAGCCTTAAGATCTTCACAGGGGAAACAGAAGCCAGTGATGCAGGAAGGAAACAAACCCCTTTGTGTCTGAGTCACCATTGAATCCTGTTCCCTAGTCAGAAGGGGATGTTTTTATTTTTGTACTCATCGCCATGTGAACGCTTTCAGACTCAGCATAGCTACAGTCAGTTGAGTTCCGTTTGGTTTGCTCTGGACAGTAACAAAATTGACTTTGCAAAAGTGACAAGGAGTCCTGTGGTATCTTGCAGATTAACAGGTGAGTGCTAACAGGGAGTTTAGAGAGGGAGTTGGAAGGGGGCGAGGGTCTCTTGCCTTTCTTTTAAATCCTTTTTCCAGGACAGCAGGTATGGATGGTGATAGGTCTGCTATCGTTACCTGCACAGCGTGTGCCATGTTTGTCTTCCTCCCGGAAGAAAGAACGGATTTCATCTGCACTAAGTGCAAGCTGGTCACCATTTTGGAAGAAAAAATTAGAGGGCTGGAGGCTCAAGTGTTGACCCTACACTCGATCAGAGAGGATGAAGACTTCCTCGACTGCAGGATTAAACGCTGCCTTCAAGCACGGCAGGCGGAAGAGCCAGAGAGGGTAGTACAGGAACAGGGAGAGAACTGGCAGCATGTAACTTCTAGAAGGGGGAAAAGGCCAGCACAGGAATCCCCCAGTGCTATAGAGGTAAGTAATCACTTTCAGGCTCTCTCCACAGGCTCTGCAGTGAGTGCTTTGGAAGGGACCTCACAAGGAAGAAACCGGAAGGGAACACAGTCTACTGGAAGGCATGGGATGCGTAGTCCTAGGGATAGGGGTTCCACAACCACCACCCCAAAAGAAGATGGGTGGTGGTGGTCGGCGACTCCCTCCTAAGAGGGACTGAGCCATCCATCTGCCACCCGGACCTGGAATCTTGGGAGGTGTGCTGCTTACCTGGAGCTTGAATTCAGGATGTGACTGAGAGGCTTACAAAACTGATCAAACGTTCGGATCGCTACCCCTTCCTGCTTCTCCACGTGGGAACTAACAATACGGCCAAGAATGACCTTGAGCAGGTTAGTGCGGATTATGTAGCGCTGGGAAGAAGGATCAAAGAATTCGGAGCACAAGTGGTGTTCTCGTCCGTCCTCCCTGTTGAAGGGAAAGGACTGGGCAGGGATCGTCAAATTGAGGAAGTAAATGCGTGGTTGCGCAGGTGGTATCGGAGAGAGGGCTTTGGATTCTTCGACCACGGGACTCTGTTCCGGGCGCAAGGATTGCTAGGAAGAGATGGGATCCACCTAACCAAGAGAGGAAGGAGCATCTTCGCGGGCAGGCTTGCAAACCTAGTGAGGAGGGCTTTAAACTAGGTTCATTGGAGGACAGTAACCAAAACAAAAATGAGGGACTCATTAGCATACATCATGATCTCATTTGCATATTTTCTGCTGATCCATTTTTGCGCTAGGGGTTCTTGTGCAAAAACAAGCAGTGTGGACATCTCCTTTTTGTGCAAAAAACCCTTTTTGCGCAAGATTGGTAAACCTCCTTCATTCCCAGTCTGTACAATGGAGATAACAGCATCGTCCTACATCACAGGGGTGTCTCAAGGAAAAATACAATCGAGATTCTGAGATACTCCTGAAAGTGCCGTCGGCAGAGCCAGCGTGGATGTCTGTGTATCTCTCGTGGCCCAGAACATGATCCTTCCCCTCATGCCCATTCCCAGATTCACGTAAACAGAGGCCAGGTCACAACCTGGGAACTAGAAGTCCAAGGGGACGAGGGGTTGCTGCAGCATCCTTCAGCTCCAGGCCTAATCCCCAGGGCCTCAACAGCTGCCCTGTGTGCTGCAAGGAGGGAAGATGCTGGCAGGCCCTGCACACCAGGGAGCTCTGCTTCTGGCCCCAGGCCAGGGGTCCTGGATGCCTGCCCCATGCACTAGGGCTTTGCTCACAGCCTCATCTTGGGGACAGGGTGGACAGGTGTAAAGGGGCTGGATTTCAGCACCCACAATCTTAAATATGTGCCTGTCCCACTGGGCTAGAGACACCATCCCTGCCCATTCTAGTTAATAGCCATTGAGGGACTTAACCTCCATGAATGGATCTAGCTCTTTTTTGAACCTTGTTGGTCTTCACAACATCCTCTGGCAGGGAGTTCCACAGGTTGACTGGTGTGCTGTGTGAAGAAATACTACCTGTTACTGCTTTAAACCTGCTACCTATTCATTTAATTGGCTGACCCCTGGTTCTTGTATTAAGGGAATAGCCTGAACTCAGACCTGTCGCTGGCCCAATGAAAACTACTTGGAAAAGACAGACTCTAGCTCCACAGAATAAAAAGGGAGCCTGTTTACAGAAGGTTTTTTTTTAAAAAAAAATTCCCAGAACTTTTCACAAAATAAATTAATAATAATTTTTATAAGCTCTTTCTCTAGCTTCTTCCTTTTCTCTTTTACCAGAGGCAAAATGGGGAGAGGGGGAAGGAGGTGAAAAGAGAGAGAGGGATGGGGGAGGGGAAGCAGACAAGCACCTTTTATTGGTCAAGTATCAGCAAACATTTTCAAAGAAATTAACATGTTTGGTGAAGCTTTGCAGCTAGAAAACAAAAGCCACTTGGAGTTTAAAAGTCTTTCTGAGCCACAAACAAAAGACCTGAGAACTGCCCTCACCAGATCACTGGCCAGGTGGACCAGAGAACTGGGCCACACGTTTCCACCCAGATATCGACATTTCCTGTGTGGTCTCACAGTCCCGAAAAGCTGCAAAGACTTGTAAAGGATGCTGACAGTCTGTTTCACTCTGGTAGGCACTTAGCTCTCCTTCTGCTCGCCCAGTACCGAAAAATTCAGGGAAGATGGAAGACGAGGAAGGTTACACGGTACTGAACCTTCGGCCGAAGTGGGGAAACTCAGCACATCTCTCTCCAGCTGGACACCAAGGTATTGACGTAGGTTGTCTTCAGTTTGCGACATATCGCCATGGAGAGGGGTTTCAAGGAAGAGACGGGTAGAAAGCATTTTCCTTGGGTATGAGACCAGGGGTGGTTAAATGGGTGGCTCTGGGTTCTAATCCTGGCTAACTGACCTTGGGCATCTGCTTTCTCCCTCCCACCATTTTTCTCTCTTGTCTATTTATTTGGCAGGGATGGGCTCTCACAAGGAACCTGTACAGGGTGCAGAGCAATTTGGGCTGCATTTTCAGTTGGATCCTCTTGGTGCAACCACACAACGAACCCAATTCACAGCTGCAATGGTAGTGAGGATGGAATGGGAGGCAGCTGGCTGTACGGACAGTTCTCTGGAGCAGAAAGTGGCCTTGTCTGGATAAATTGTTACTCAGATGTGTACTCAGCTATTGCCAGTGCTAGATGGGCAGTTTTTATTCTGGTATTGACAGCAGCGTCTTCATAAGCTAGGATTAAGTCTGTGGATGGCTACTAATTCTAGCTCTGCAGACTAATTTTTTTTAAATATCAATTTAAATATTGGCCGAAACTCTTGGTGCGTCCACTCCTCAAGCGCATTTTTGTGCAAGAGAATTGAAAAAACAGAGGGTCTTTGCTTAGTTGTTATTTCTCTTTCTACGAGGAAGAACGCCCTTTTGCGCAAGAGCTCTCTCTCAAGAGGGGAAGAGGGGATTTTGCGCAAAAAGAGGAAAAAGCACAGGTGCCTTGGTGGCCATTCTGTGCGTAGCAATCAGAGCTTACTTTCGAGAGAGCATCCATGCAGTCTGGACCCTCTCTTTCCTTTTGCAGTGTGGACGTGCTCTTGCAGAAGAAGTTTTTGCAGAAGATCTCTTGCGCAAAAAGCTTCTTGCGCAAGAAGCCTGTAGTGTAGACATAGCCTTAGAGTCACATAGTGGGGTTCTAATTCTCAGCTAGTGAAAAGCAGAATGGCTTCACTGAGTTCATGATTAACAGTAGCAGAGGGGCTGGCTCTACATCTTATCCCAGTATTTTTTTGGAAAATGGGTACTTAATAAAAAAAGGTGGAGAAACACTGGTCTAACTGACGCTACATGGGCAGTTGAAACTGCAATTCCTGGGGCTGTATAAGCACCATGTGAGCCAAGAGTGTCACCTCAGTGCGAGCTCTGAGAAGACACAACAACCTGTCAACCTCCCCATTTCCTCACACTGAATCCCATCTCCTAGACTCCCCGCCCTGCCCGCACTGGCAC